TAGGCTAGGTCGATATGGTCTCTGTGGTTGCGGCGTACCCGCCGCACCTTGATATATTTGTGTGTGTTGTTCTCTAGTTATTCCTAGTGAACCCTCGGCATGTACGCCGATAGGCAGAGGGGGAACTCTTGTGTTTTTCTAATAAATCGTCAACGGCTCAACGCGTTCTACAACAATTTTGAATATATATGCCGCCGTATACATAAATATATGCTTTGAATAATCTTTTTTGCATTTGCTTATTTTCCTTCTTTATCGTCTAGCGAAAAATTTTTTATTCCAAAAGTGAAGGTGGTCACCCTGTACCAGCTCAAATGTGAAGGTAGGGGAGAATCGGCTCCCACTATCGCACCTTTGCCTATAACCTTTCCGCAGCTAGAAACTACAGATTGGAGTCAGCGTTTTGAGCGCATTACCGTGATATTTGTTTTATCCGGATTGCCCGAGGTGGCTTGGTAAATTTTCCTTGCCAGAAAAACCAATGCATTGCAATTTGTACTCTATTTGATTGTTATGAAGCTGTCTTAAAACTTTGAAATGAAAATTTTGATAAATTAGCCAAAATTAGGGTAAGTGAAAATCATGGGGTGGAGATTTTGACGATTTCCTATACGACCATTGAAGGACTTGAGTTAGAAATGCTAGTGCTGAAAAAGGCAAAATCTTCGTATCGATTATCGTTTAGAGTGTTTGCCTGTCTCTTTATTTTCAGTGCTTGAGTATAGGACTAAATTACGGCATGAAATTTCAGATCCACCTAGTATAATGGAATACCTCTCTCCAGTGGCGTACCGAGGGGGGCCCCCCCCCAGAATAGGTCGCGAAATTTTTGAAAGTTACTTACATGAGTTATAAAAATGTGCAAGAGACTTATTTATACTTGTAAGTAATTAAAGTAATTTTAAAAATTTTTAAAAATACAATTTAGCCTTATAAAAAAATTTTTTCGGGGGCGTGGCTGACGCCACGCCCCCTTTTTCTAAAATTTTGGGGTTATGAAACCGCGAAAATTTTGAGAAGGGTGCCAAGATTTTTTCTAGGTGCGTGGCTAAGGCCACGCACCTTCATCAGAAAAAAATTTTGTCGCCCCCCCCCGAACGGAAATCCTGGGTACGCCACTGTCTTTCTCCACAAACTTTAGTCGACTTTGGAATGAGATAAGACGATGAGGTGCAGAACAAGCTAGCAACAGTAACGTTCGCTTAATGGACAATGCAATACTGACAAGGGACATTGCCATTAGACAAAGATATTGCTGCGATGCGAGCACCAAGTAGGGTTTACAGTTCATCATTGAATAGAGAAAGGCAAACACTACCAAACCATACTAATCACGGGCATAACCTATAAATGTTGTGGAAATAGAGGAGAAATTGCGAAGACATAAGTTCTTGGCAGAGCTCAAATTTCTACCTTCCGTAAACGCTGCAACACTCACAAATACTCCAATACATAGTAGACATGGACTCATATACATATGTGCAAAATTTGCATGGAATTCGAGCTTAAATAGCAGGAAAAATGAGATATTTGAAGAGTGGCAAACTCCGCCCCTATTGGTCCTAAACACCTCCCACCAGCGCAGATATAAGCCATTTTACGTGAAAGTAATCTCGAGTCATTTGTAACTTAATGTGTGAGACTGCACACTATACCCTATTAGCGACGGCACCCATACTTGTAACTTCCCAGTAAAACATTTTCAAGTTCAACAAAGTGTACATATGTGTTCTACTAACTAGCATGTAACCAATAAAAACAAGAGAAATAAGGAAAGAAGGAGAAATCACAGGAAATGAGCATGTTCTATTTTTGCAGTTCGTCAGTTAGCGTGTAGACTGTGCACTAGGCATATTAAGTTACAAATGACTCGACGATACAATTACGAATTTTCTTGTTCTTATATGCGTTGCAACTTGAAAATTAGCCATTTTAGCGTGGAAATGTCTGAGACTTTCTTACCAACCTAATACCTAACTTAGCTCGGCCTTTTCAAGGGACATATGTTTTCTAGATCAGCTTTAAACGCTAATTCCAAACATGCTATTTGCAGCTGCCGCCCACCATTCCAAAGCGAGTTATGGGCTTTTTCTTGCGCAGGAATGGCATACTCATCGACAACACGGCATCATCATTCAAGGTGTTGATACACTTGCGTCAAGCTTTTTTTTAGTTAGAAAAAATTGAATTCAAACTATGATATTTTATCGCCTTTTTCTTGCAGATTTCTATCTACTGGCAGTCTTCCCACGTTCAGTAGTATATGCCAATTTTGGGCAAGAAAAAGCTCATAACTCGCTTCGGAATCGTGCGTGGCAGCTGAGAAAAGCATAATTGAAATCAGGGTTCAAAGCTGATTTGGATATGTATGTCCCTTGCCAAAACGCCGAGCTAAGTTAGGTAGCTTTTCTCATGGGTAAAATATTTTCTGTATGTGCACTAATGTTATAAAAAAATTATCAGCTTGGCACATTAGTTTTGTAACTTATGCCTTAAGCTTTTTTCTTCTTGGTTGTGATTGCACTTATTTTTTAGACTAATGTCGTCGTTTAAATATCGAGATACAAGTATTTGAAACATTTAATCTTTGGTTGTTATGGAAAAATCCATGTATGCTTACAAGGAAGAGTCACGCGTTTGAAGTGGCTGATCACCATAAAATGCATAACAATAGTGAGAACTCAAAGCGGTGATTCCAAATCTGCTTTTTATTCGCAGAGCTTTTGGGGAATGAGTTTCGAGCATTTTTTCAGGCGAAAATTGAAGAAATTTTCGGAAAAAATCAATCGCCAGAGCTTCTCTGAACCTTGAATAAAACAGCGGCAAGTGTCAGGACATTTTATACGATGAACTTATTCTGTCTAATATATCAGCACATTTTACTGCTCCAGATGATGCCTAGAAAGGCCACAAGATCAATTTCATTTCGTAAATTAGTTCATTAGATCGCCTCAAAAGCTCATACTTTTTCCCAAAATCGCTCTACAAACAGAAGAAGCAGAGTTGGAGTCAACGCTTCAGGCTCTCACTGACTGTATGCAGTTCGTGGTGATCGGCCAATTCGACTATGTGACCCCTCCTTGTCGAACAAAGATAGCCGACCGTCCACGAGCGATGTCACGCTTTTCCAAGAACGCGAAAATAGAAACCCGATAAACTCCCGGCAATGCCCGCGGAAGACCCAGTGAGGGCCCGAATAGTACCAGCGGTAAGCGCTCGATACCAGCGGATGGCCCGATACGTGCTTGGTAAAGCAATGAAGTTCATGTTATCAGCAAAGTTCCGTTCCCCATAACCTATTTTGTTCCATGATTATTGCAAACGCAGTCTTCCCAAACAAAATCCAACTAAAGATCTGGCTTTAATTGACAGTCCATCGCTAAAGTTTACGGTAACCCTAGACTACGGCGTGTTTCATGCGAGTAACGTTTCCTCTTACACAGTGTAAGAATTATGGCGTCCAGCAAGGCCTGGGCTCGTCAGAGTTCTGTCGGGCCTAAAGACCTAAACTTGCAAAATAATCTGCATTTCACCTGTCGAGGCCCGCCTTTACCATATTATAAGGGCGTTGTGTGCGACACGGACCGGGGCTTACCCGATGCAAAAAACTCTGGAAAAGTCTGGGGCTCTCCCGAGTTTTTTTTGAGCGCGGGTGTTTCGATAGAATATTTACGGCCCGCGGTTTTTTCTTCCCAATAACACTGTGCCGCAGGTTGCCAAACGAATAAATCCGGAGCATCGAATGGTCATTCTAAGAATTTGAGGTCCGCGCATTGGCGAAAGACAGTGTTGGATGTCTCAAGCGTTCGCAATGATTGTCTAAGTCTTAATGATGGTCAAATCAGTTTTCAGCCAATGAAACACATCAAAACGAAACCGCAGTATGATAGTTGCTGGTTGAAAATCTCAATTTTTGGTTTGTAAGTCGACTCAATGCGATTACTGCGAGCTGAAAACGGATGTATTTTTATGTTTAGCTCAGTATAATTTCTAATCTGACCACAGATTTCGAATGCGTAGATTTTCTTAGCTGAACACCAATGCGACTTACTACCTAATCTAAGTTCAAAAAAATGAAAGTGCCACACCTGAGGAGAGGAATTTTATGAAATTATTTGCAAAACTTATGTGCCATCCTGGTAGTCATTGTTCACAAAACCTTGCTTAGTCCTGTCGTATTGCATTCAAAAATGGATATTCATATAGAGTTTTGATTTACTGCAGTGATAAAAGTAGTCAATATTGGTCGAATGTGCTCCTCTGAGTTCATTCTTATTGAAACTATAGAAATACTATTATATTAGGCTGTCCCGAAAGTTTTGTCGTTCCAAATTTGAAAATTTGTGACTTTTTGCTGTCTCAACAAACTTGCTTTTTATTTCATTAAAAAAAGAAGTCTTCCTCTTCGTAATAGCACCTCGATGAGCTTCGACTATACGCTCATTGTGGAGATAAAAATGGAAGAAGAAGAACACTTAATCTTCAAGCATTCCAAGTTAGGTCATCGCCAAAAGTCTGAAACACTGCAGAGTCAGTGTATAACTTTTATGGCCTGTCTTTGCATAAGCGAAAAAAATTGCTGTTTGGACGTCTCAGTGAAAGTTTTGGCGAGAAAAGTGAATCAATTTTGGCGTTTTCTATTTTACTCGAAAATCATATTTTCATTGAAACGTTCAAGTAGCACATTTTTTTCTTTGTTGCAAAGAAGCTCAGAACTTATATACTGACAATTTCAGATTTTCTGCAGCGTTTCAATTTTTGGCAACCTATCTCAAAATAGTCAAAGCTTAGGTGTTCTTCTTTTTCCAATTTTATCTTCGCAATGAATGTATAGCTGAACTCACCGAGATACCTCTACAAAGAAGGAGACTTGGCAAAAAAGCAAATCCGTCGAGATGGCATATATGAAACGACAGAACTTTCGGGACAACCTTATACATTCTTTACATAATCTTCAGTGACCAATTCGGACATGAACAAGAAACAAATTCTTTTTCCAGTTGTTCCATTTGATTACCGGATATGGAATCGCCAGAACTTTGCACAGGACCCATTACTTGCCATCAGGTCGTGCGAAAAACCATGTTGAAAGATATCTTATATACATAGCAAAAGTATTTCCTCGTTTGAGGCATACCTACGTTTTTGCGGACGTAAGTTCTTTCAGTAAACATTCTTCCATCGATTTCGCGTGACGGCTATCATCAACAATTTGACGACAGATTGATTCTAATGTGCCTGCCCATTTAATATCTACTCTTGTAATCAACTCAGGTTGAGGGGTATATATGGGTTGTTTCAGACTGCCGCACTGACTGCAGCAGACTGCAGCAGACTGCAGCTGACTGCAGCTGACCGCACTGACCGCACTGACCGCACTGCCCGCACCGGTCGCAGCCTCTTTTCTTAAAAGAAAAAACAACCACGATTATCAAAACAGCGTGATTTACGCATAAGATCACAAGTTCCATCAGAATTCTTCTCAATCAATTTTTGGCGATAGTTTTCTTTGGTAGGTTCGTATTTGTTCTAATTCCTCCTATCATTGCGTATACCTGTTTTGTAACATTCTAAAACGTGTTGTCTTTTGCTTCAACGTATATATTGTTGTTGTTTGTTTGAACCACAGCTATTTATCCTCTCCGCCTGCAGGCCTCAGCCGCTGCGGTCGTTGCGGTCAGTGCGGTCAGCTGCAGTCTGCTGCAGGCTGCTGCAGTCTGCTGCAGTCAGTGCAGTCAGCTGCAGTCTGCTGCAATCTGCTGCGGTCAGTGCAGACTGCTGCAGTCAGTGCGGCAGTATGAAACAACCCTATTGCTCCGCTTTTCCACAAATTCCGAGCATTACTTGCTCTTTATGAAACTCTTTTAGTTTTTGAAAAGCATGGAAGAAACCAGACGTTACCGCGAAACCTCTCGTCTTTATCTGATACTATGAGGGTTTTAGTCTAATTAGAGCTTGCTAGAAAGATGCGGAACTGCCTCGCATGCTTTGTTACATATACAACGCATGCACTTCTCGGTAACAAATGTACAAAAGTGTCATAGTCCACCTTTTTCATGTCTGTGACAGGCAGAAAAAGGGTTTGGCTTTGACGTATCAAAACGAAAAAGGATCTAAGTTTTGGTCACGAAAGGAAGCATTACAGTGGCAAAGACGAAATGATGTGCTCGCTGCATACTTCTTCACTTGCCTTCAAAGGCAGATTGCAAATTTTAAAGCAAAGCAAGATCAATGCTAACGAATGAGTGGAAAAAAGTGGTGAAGGCTTAGCTTACACGTTCTCTATGAAAACAGGGCGACATTTCTCTGCGACTCTTTTAAAATTGGGTATGTTGTATTAAAATGTAACGAAAGTTCCCGGGCGCTTGCGAAATTTTTTTGCAAGCTGTAATTTCGAGCAGATTGATCTTTTCAAGCCGCAAACTTTGCTAGAAAGGCAGTGTTGTCCAAAAGTTTGCCCATTTGTTGGGTTTCCAGCACTTCATTTTGGGCCACCAGCACGCGTAGAATGGAAAAAGATCGACTTGGATCCGGGGTGTTGGTGCAGGAACTCTTCCGGCAAAAGGAGAGTTGCAGTGCTCACGATAGTCATGTGGAACTGTGCTGCGGCTGTTTGAGATTGTGTCATAATCTCAAAGGACAGCCTGCAAAAAAATTGAAAAAATTTTTGCACCCCGAAAATGCCCCATTTTTGAGTAAACAAAGTTGGATGCTTTTTTTCACAAAACAAATCAAATCTTTGATTGCCGAATATAAAAAAAATGGCAGCAAAAAGAAAATGAAAATTTCATTGTAGACAGATTGCCTAATTGCTGTATAAGTAAAACACGGCTTGATACTGATAAAAACTTGATGCGAACTTGGAAAGGCTAGGCTTTGTTCTACAGAACGATATAAAGTGTTTGTCGTTAAAATTCGAACGAGGCAAAAAAATGAGTCTAAAAATAAAATTTCAAAACTGCCCGGAATTTTTCGTTACAGCCTAGTAGAATTTTAGATGAAAACACTTATGGGATAAAATAGAAATTGAGAAACGGAAATTTTATGCTTTGAAAACTGATTTGCTGTTTTTACAAAAATAAATGAATATAATAAGCTTCAGAAGTACCAACAAATCAAACTGCATTTTCAAAGAAATGATAATTTTCACGTAAGAGTCCCATAAGAGTATTCAAATTTATTAGGTTGTCCGGAAATTAATGTCCGTTGTGCATTTCAACCGCAATAAGTCATACATTTCCCACTTGTGATTAGATTGCAAGGTAACGTTCGATAGAGCAAAGCAAGCTCTACATAATAGCTATCTTGTTGCTGCTAACTCTCACTAACCTTAAGTTTCGAGCCAAAAACCAAAAAGATCCAGCTGCCCGGAAAATTGAGAAAAATCGTAACTCAGTTCGTAGAAATCCTGCAAAAATTCTAACTAGCTCACGTAAACAATATCCACATAAGACATCTGTATACGCCGTTGCCGTATTTATTCCTTTGTTAGAGATCAACAAAACTGAAATTTTCGTGCTTTTGCTAAGTATTGCTGTGCTGTCCGCACATAAGTAGTTGTATACTACAAACCTGTAGAAGTGCAAGCCTAAATTTTCAGCTCTCTAGAAGCTTTGGTTCTCGAGAGATATCGAATCTGGCTTTTCCTAGTCAGGAGGTCCAAGCCAGAATTTGAATTGCTTGAAAACTAAAGCTTCTAGAGAGCTGAAAATTTACGTCTGTACTTATACAGGTCTGTAGTTTACAACCACTCATGTGGAGACGGCACAGCATCACCTTAGCAAATGCACAAAAACTTCCGTTTTCTTGATTTCTAAAAGGTAAAAAAAACAGCAACGGTGTGTATAGATGTCTTATGTAAATAGTGTTTACGTGAGCAAATTAGAATTTTTGTAAGATTTTTATAGACTAAGGCCCGTATGCACTAACATTTTTGCGGCGAGGGGAGCGGCGTCCCCCGTTATGAAGGGACCGCGTGCGGACGCCGCTGCGGGTTTTTCATTATTGGAGACGCCGCTGCCCTCGCCGCAGGGATGTTAGTGCATGCGGCCCTAAGTTACAATTTCTCTCGATTTTCCGGGCAGCTGAATCTTTTTAGTTTATGGCTCGAAACTCAAGGTTAATGAAAGCTGCTGCAAAAACAAGACCCTTATTTTGTAGAGCTTGCTTTGCTCTATCGAATCTTACTTTGCATTCCATTCAGGAATGAGAAGCTTATGACTTATTGCGGTTGAAATTCAAAAGGGACATCAAATTTTCGACAACCTAATATATTAAGTTATTATAGTTATTATAGTTATATAGTTATTAGTTGTTTGGTCATTTTTAAGAACTGGTAATCGTCTAAGCTTATTGAGCTTAGGTCAAGATATCAACCATACTTTATTCACTGCCAACGTTCGGCGGGATCGCCTTCGTCAGAGAATGGAAAGTCGAAAACATAATAAAACATTCTCTTAGACGCCAAGATTTTAATTCACGAAAGTCAAATTGGATAGAGTACAAAAGGCAACGAAAATTCGGAACCGAGGCTCACCTTCGATAACGTGTGTTGATGTGCTAAACCGCCATATACTCAGACTATACCTCCTCCCTATTTATAGTGCCGGATGACCTGACCTCATATCAAAACCCAAAGAGGAGTTAATAGGGCGCGAGTTCATTGGTGATGGCTATGCACTCTTCCTTCCGGTTCATCTTTGGATTTTGAAGTTGGTCTACAACGCTTCCAGAGTTTTGCGCGCCAGGAATTTTTGCGCTTTCTAGTATAAAATCACTCCAATACCAATCTCAGCATTTTCATGGCACAAAATGCGATGGCTGCCTAGCGGCATAGCTGGTTTCACTTTATTCAATCCATCCAAATGTTCTTTAAGGCCCCGGACAGACTTCACGCGATTTGATCGTCGCGACTCAATCGCCGACATTTCCATTCATTTTCATTTTACATTCAAAAATTTCGGGCTGGAAAAGTATCACAACCGAAATGCAAGTTGATCGGCATGGAATGATGTTGTAACAGTTGTCTCGTCGCGATTCAGTCGCGACGATCAAATCGCGTGAAGTCTGTCCGGGGCCTAACGCGGCAACAAAGTGGTCGTCCTGTCTCTCCGATATACGTTTCACCACACGATAAACATGTGAATAGATAACCCCGGGGACCATGCAATCACCCTCTTTGCCAAATGGGCAGACGACACAAGCTGGAGTCAGTGTACGATCGCACGATCGGTTTCGGACCAATTAACGTTTTAGATTCAAAGACGGCATATCACCACCCTGACACACATCTCTTGCAAACCCGCAAGATGTACGTATCGCAGCGCTTATCTTATCCGACACGAAGCAAGCGGAAAGCGATTTCTGCAAGTGGCGCATCCGGGCTGCTGCAACTGGCTCTGGGTTCTGCAAACCCGTGAGGGTTTGAGATAGGCTCACCAGCATATCCATCAGGCTTAGCTACAATACCGCTCATAATTCGCCGAAAAAGTCGCCGCACTTTAGCGGAGTACGCCGAAGTGCGCTAGAGTGTGCCGAAGAGCAGCGGAGTGCACCGCACTCCACTGTAGTGCACCGGAATACGCGTTGCATCGCCATACTCGCTTGAGAATAGATATTCTTGTATTTTGACCAAGGACACCGTTCGATTCAGCTCGGCGAGACGCATCATCTGGTGTGTAAAAGTGCCACAACCCTATCGGGGTACGGTAGGTCGACGGTAGGTTTTCGCTTAATTTTACAGGTTTTTGTTTGATTGGATTGTCCAGTGTGCTGTTAACTATACTGACATTGATTTGCTGCTGATGGCACCGTAGGGATACTGTAGAAGTATGGTAGAGAGTCACTCAGATTGAATTTGTGCAAAAAATCAGGTCAAGGTATAATACCGCTGTGCAGTTTCAAAAATTCCGCGACATTCTGGCAATTTGCGACACCCCAAGAACTCCGCGAAATAACGGAAATCACGCAAACTACGCAGCACAACAACTTCCTTTGGAATAAATAAATTCTGAATCCGGAAACAGTATTGTATTTAGCTCATTACGCGAATTTTTTGATATACAGTACGTCCTTGATAATCCGATTTCAGTATTCTTGAATTTTTCTGCGGACTTCTCTTCGCAAAGGTGTAAAGCAGCGTGCTTTACTCCTAGTAGGCTACAGCAGCAAGGACCAGTCGATAGTACTTCTTCCGTAGATAATGGATCGCCGAAAATTAGCCGTAGGCCAATTTCCAAATGAGATAAAAGGGCTGGTGAACTGTAGAAAAATCTTGTCGTCCTGAATTCTACTCGTCATAACCCTAGAATACGGAGCTCTCTTGCGAAGCAGATATGATTTTCGCAATCAGCAGGTTAGATAACCTCTATGAGCAAGGTTTCCGATATGCTCGGGATATTCAATTTTTTCTCGTTTTACGCTGTGGAAGCTCGCCGATGGATTTTAGTCAAAATTAATGCTTTTGAACTGTAATCCTCATGAATTTTGCAAAAAATATAAAGATCGCATATTTTGTCGAAATTCCACTATGAGTGCTTGTAAACACGATGGTAAAATCTTTTCACATCCTTAACGGATCTCATTGTGTTAGATTTGGTAATTTGAGCTCTAGCCACGAGATAGCTTTATATTCAATTGAGCTGCTGAAGCACACGCAAGCACCATATTCAATACAGTGGGGATCATTGAACGAAGCGAACATAACATAATACCTACAAGCACTCGCGATGGGATTTCGACGAGATATGCGATCTTTACATTTTGAGCAAAATTCACGAGGACGAAGATCTTTTCGCAAACTCGTAACTTTGCGCTATTTATAGAATGAAGCTTGAGTCATGCACCATTTGATAGCACTATTCATAAAGACTTAATCTGTAAAAGCAAGCAAGCGTGCTCTCTGACAGACACACGAGAAGTGAAAAAAAGTTACAAACTTTCGTGACTCAGTTACAGTTACCTCACCATTCTCTGCAAAAAAGCCTGTATTCATCAAAACCACGATTTTCATAAAGAGCGTATTCAAAAACTCCTATAAGCGGTTTTTGAGCACTGTTGGATTGTACTGCCTTCGCAGATTATCGAGCGCTAAAAGCAACCGGAGAATCTTTTTGAAAAAGATAGAAGAGCTGATGAATTCTGGAAAAATCGCATTGTCTCAAACTTTGCCCACCGTGACTCTAAGATGAGAAGCTCTACTGCTAAGCAGATGTGATTTCCGTAATCAGCAGATCAGATAACCTCTATGAGCAAGTTTTCAAAGAAGTCCAGGTGATTTGATTTTTTTTCTTGTTCTACGCCCTGAAGCTCGCCGATGGGTTTTTGGTCAAAATGCGATGATCTCGGATTGTAAGGAAACTTCGCTCAGAGAGGTTTTCGAACACGATGTTTACGATAATCGTCTTTTGCGCGGAGTACAGAGTTTTCTAGCAGAGATATGATATAATGTTCAAAGATACTTGCCCTTTTTATTCAAACCAAAGGAAAAAAATCAAGTTAACAAGACTGGTTTTTGACAGTCGAATTCTTTCTCTTTTCAGCAAAAAAATAATGTGATCCGATTGTCATTGCCTTTTTGATTTTAATCACAGTCAGATTTCTTATGCTTAGCCTCGATGTTGTAACTTTGTATGTAGGACGAAATCAGTATTTAGATGAGGTGTAATGACGAAATGATATTATCAGATTGGAGTCGCCCAGACTGAAGTCAAATTTGCTGATAGATGGAATTCCTATAGCAACCCATTGAGGTCAGTAATTTTCCAGTGATTGTACATTCCCTTATAAAGGTCGCCCAATTTTGGCAGTTCTGTTTAGGCTGAACAATCTCACCGACCAGTACTTGCTGTTGAATAACAGTTTTTTGCAAAATAGAAAATATTTTGAAGGCTACCTTAGAGATATACGCAGCTTATTAAAATTTTCAGAAGAGGTCAGAAAGAATGGGATTGAAGAGCTTCGTTTACTGAAAAAGTAAGGTTTGAACTTTCTTATTTGCACTTATTAAATCGCACATCAGCCACACTGAGTCGATGTGCGTACATGTTCGTATGACGGACTTTATACAGTGGGAGAGAGCTTCTGATATGAACAGTACAGTCAAAGCTGCTAGGTCAATTGCCAAAAAAATGGTATTATCTGAATGCATGTATTGAAATTCGTACATGTCAATTTTCCTTTACAGAATATCTCACATTTTATGATTTTTGGAGATGATAAAGAGTTTATGGCCAACATGTCACAAGCTATTGTAAGCGGTGAATGGAGAGACGACGCAAGTTTTGCTTTTACATAGGTATAAGTATCTGCATCATCCGCTCATTCCAGGCTGTAATCGTTTCCCACTATGAAGAGTCCATAGATTTGTTTTTGGCATCACAAATTTGTAGCTCCTTTTTGATTTCCGCTCCTACTTCTACTTTTGGTTGGTGGCTTGCCTTTTTCGTCTCCAACCAAAATGCTGTGTATTACCTTAATGGCACACACGCGAGAGGGAATTTATCGCTCAAAAAGGATATGCTTCTGTGAGTCTTCAAGCTGACAATACATATTCTACAAATAAGAGAAGCTCACAAGAAAGGGTTTTTTATTCTAAAGTAAATTATGGTGTTTGTTTCCCTATGTGTTGTGGCTAATCTGGGGTATGGGTACATAGCAGTGGCGTACAATGGGGAGGGAGGGGGAGCCCGCCTTGCAAGAATGGATTAAGAAATTTTCAAAAATTGTTTACACGTGGTATAAAAGGTGCAAATAAGTTGTTTTTACTTGTAAATCATACAAATTATGTTCGAAAAAGTTTAAATTGAAATTTACGGTGCCCTAAAAGAATATTTGAAGAGCGTGGCTGACATGCGAAAGGGAATTTTTTGTTGTCTTTCCTTCGCTCCATATGGAAATTCTGGGTACACTAGATACATAAAGTACTGGTACTGGTACGTAAAGTGCGGTCTTCAAACGTAGGAACGGAAGAAGTCTTGTGAATTCATGGAGAAACTCAAGGAACATTTGGTTTGCGTAGAGCATAGCCGAAAACGTATACGCGGCAGAGTAATGAAAATCGGCGACATGTTTGAGAATGTTCTCCTGCAAATTTCTAGCGGTTAGTATAAGAGTTTGAGGTTCCTTTTCTCACTGAAATTCACAATCTTTTGAGTGTTTTTTGAAGTTACAGCTAAAAATTCTGAGATTCCGCAACACGCTGGACAGGGCGCAATTGGAAACAAAAAGCATTACTATTTTCAAATGACTTAAAATGCATTGAAGTTAGTGCTTCCCAAAAACGTCTGCTCTTCTATGATTCAAGCACTCTAATCAGTTCTACTTTGTGATAAATCAAGCTTTTTCGATCAAACTCGTTTAACGCTTGGAAAGTTCCCGCGTTTTTCAAGCAAATTCCAATCTTACTCTGAAGTTAGCATGCTTTCGAATCAAAACTTAGCTTTGAGGTCTTGCGATGAAGTAAGCATCTATTAGGTTGTAAAGAAAGTTCCCGGGCACTTTTGACAATTTCATTTTCAAACGCATTTTTTCGGCGCTCGGTCGAAGCTTGACACCAAGTTTTCTATACTGTTCAGTAGAGGGAAGCCTGAAGTTTTCAACAGGCCTTCTGATTTTTATCGATGCCAAGACGTGTTCGATCTGCACATCAAGAAGAGAAATCTGTCTAACCATAAAAATTTCGCAATTTTTCTCCCTGGGCCCATTTTTCTCTGCATTTCAAAGAATTTCGTCCAAATCGTGAGTCATGATTGAGGAGCCTGTTAACTTCTGACCCGCAGCTGCACTCGAGTTTTGCGATTTGCGCTTAGAAGATTCAAGCTCTCAAACTTGCCTCTGACTACAACTCTTTTGGCAGCTGGCGTCGCTTCTGCGGGAATCGTCACGCCTGGACGATGGGTCCAAAAGATGTGTAAGGCATTACCCCAACAATATTCGCAGTAATCAAAGATTTGGTCCACTTTATGCAGAACGACAAGACTTCAAAGTCACTTGCTCGAAAAAGGGTGCATTTTTAGGGGCAAAAAATGGTCGATTTTTCAAACTTTCTGGAAAAAAATTTTTTGCAGGTAGTCCTGCAAAACCATGAATGGTCCCCATAACAGCCCCAGCAGACTTCTACGTAAGTACAGCATTTGAGCTCTCCAGCTTTCATTGTGCCTGAGATAATCTTGCACAAACAGGCCATTTTTCTCAACGACCTTTTTCCCTTCTGCGCATGCTGGTAGACCGCAGTGAAGTGCTGAGAAGCCAACAAGACAAGTATATGTTGTGGACAAAACTGTCTTTGCAATGAAGTTTGTAGCTTTGAAAAAGAATCAATCTGCTTGAAGTTATAGCGATTTGAAAAAAATTTTTGCAAATGCCCGGGAACTTTCTTTACAACCTAATAGCATAGAAGTTCTCAAAACTTTGCAATCTATATTTAGTTAGAGAAAATCAGCAACGCTCTTGCGGTTATCTTGACCACCCAGGGCTTATCCATTAAAACACTTATTTGATATTGTAGTCACTTTTACTTGATTTTTAGCTCCGAACCTCAAATTAGTTCCGAAAAAACCCAAAAACTTCAGCAGGAATACATCATCATGCAAACAGTGACACTTGACAGCACATATGTCATACAGTGACCGCATTGCAAACTACTGCACGATTTCCACCGTAAATACATTCCAACGTATACTCTTTCCGATTTCCTCAGTCACGTATGACTATACGGCAAAAGTGCAAGCGTTCCACAAAGGTCAAAGAATTTTTGAAAGCAATATAACGTGCAAAGCCTCTCTAATATGTGAAACCATACAATGCACGGCCTGTTGGGAATGGATTCACAACTCATTCACAACTCACTCGAGTCATCCTAAATGGAGTTATATCGTTGTTTTCATAGCCATGGTCACGATAACAGCACCCCTCCTTTGCTGTGTCATGAAGGGAACCTACTACCTAATCACATTCACATGTAGGATTTGGAGAAAACTGCTGAACAGCTTATGTACACTCTGCACAAAAAAGCCGAAAAACGTTTTTCCGCTCAGGTACATCAGCAAACGGAAACGAAAACACTAACCGCAAGCTCCTGACATGTACAGCCTTGATATTGCTAGATACAAACACATGAAACGCAGCAATGTTCACAATTCACCTCCGTCACCGCAAAGGAAGAAATCTGTACAAAACAAGACACTAAGGAAACCTGCGTTTTTGATGAAGCAACGCTCATTATACTTTAACCCCTCAAACAAGAAACATGCTTGGGACTATTTGACGAAAATCATATTAACGTCTGTATTATCTCCATCACACTTGACAGCATACGGTACAAATGCAATAAACGGATCGATTTCTTCTCTAGAGACCACGAACTTGTCTTGGAGTCAAGTCATGGATGCTACTCTGCAGGAAGCTGCACCGAAAACGCATGCGATAATACCAAACCAACGAACAAGCTAGAAGAATTCTCTTTCACAGCCAACAACAACCCAGGGTATACCATATTGTGCTTTGAGCTGTGGATGCGTAACATGTAATAGATGTTTTCTATGCAATCCCAGCTGTCTCTTCTATCGTGTCTACGCCAAATCAACATCATTTTCTACCTACACTATCTTCAACTGTCCTAGTTGGTTGGGACTTTTCGGCGATCGCAAAATTTAACCTGACCCAAGAGAACTCCGTAACATCAACTCCTGGACGCACTACCACCTGGAACAATTTGCGCGTCACCCTTATCGGCTCCGTGACACCGCAACTTCCAATTCTATCGTCTACATTCATCACGGATGGAAGGAAAGTCGCAATTGTTAAACCTGCCAGCAAAGGTCAATTGATTCCACGCACGGTAGGACAACTCCAGTGATCATCTATGGAAAATGCCAGAAACTTCAACTGTCAATTTTCCAGTAAGGCCTGTACCTGCACGAAAGGTTTGCTTAAAGCCTCCTGTGTATGCAGCGAAGGGGACCTCGAAAAACTCATGCATGTAATGCCCCTACCTCAAAAAGCGAAAAATTTTCAAATTTACGAAGAAAACAAAGATATCTACGCCAAAATCAACTTTGGATCTGCCTTACAGCTACATTTAGTAGCAGAATATTTGAAAGCCAGTAAAATGCAGAAGAGCTCCTGCATTGTCGAGACAGGTGACCTACATGGATGTTACAGCTGCGCGTCTGGAGCAACGATAGAAATCATCTGCACGAGCAATGAAGGAGAAACAACCGTCACTATCGAATGCGTCACGCAAAGTCAAACTGCAAGGTACACAACGCAAGGCCACCTCAATGGTCTTGTCTTCCATTTTGGCAACGACATAGCCTCAACTACATGCACTTTCACCTGCCCAAATACAAAGATGAACTTTACCATTCGAGGAAGTTTGGAGTTTTCAAAGGACGTCAAAGCCGACGCGTGGACTGACAACGAAAAAGAAAAATACCACCAAACATTTCAGCGATCGAAAGCTTTCTCGACACTATAATCAAATACATTCATTCATTTTCCACTTTTTTCATCTATCTCAAATATGCTATTTTTCTAATATTAGGTTGTCCCGAAATTTTTGCCCGTTTTTTCAACTTATCATAAAAACGCGTGGAACGAAGATAAAGAAACGCTTCAAGCACTATCCGACGCATCTTTTCCTCGTCCTTCTACATGTCGAGCCCACATCCCGATTACTCTTTTGCTCACTGAGATAAACGCCGAAATTTCGAACCCATGGTTTTTACTATGTCCAAGTTTGATAATTTTTCACAAACTTCATTTTCAATTTCTGGAAGACCTTTGATAGCCTTCAGTTAGAGTAAGCAAAGGGCAATGCAATGCAATTATTTGGCTTATCTAGCTGGCTTTTCAATATTTTTAAAGATAATTTTTTCAAAACTCTTCACTTTTGCGAAGTTCTAAAATACAGAAACGCCTCGAACTCTAACAAATCATCGGATTTAGAAGCTTTCAAAAACCGATTACGATTATTCACTATTTTTACGAAGCAAATGAGCGTTTACCGCTTCGAAATATAAGATTTTGCATTTTATGTGTACACGCTGGGGTGGGGTCAAATTCAAGAATTATGAAAATTTTATCGCCAAAGACCCCGCAAATTGGAGAGTAAATACACTCACTGGAAAAAGGAGGAAAAGCTGCATCGAATAACACCTTAGTTGTGCGCCGTTTCATGATCTCTGGCTTTTGGCATCACCAAAAGTGGAATTTGATAGCATCAGAAAAATAATTCTAAAAAAAAAATTTTAAGGCTGACCATAGGTGCCGCAAAATTGCATTATATTGCCCTTTGTTTGCTCTATCTAATTGTTGCCAAAGCTTTTCCGAAAGTCAAAAATAAAGATTGTGAAAAAATTGCAAACTTGGACGTAGTAAAAACCATGGGTTTGAAATTCGGCGTTTATCTCAGTGAACAAGAGAGTAATCGGCATGCTGGCTTGACAGTTAGAAAGAGGAGAAAAAGATGCGTCGGATAGTGCTTAGAGCGTTTCTTTATCTTCGTTCCACGCGTTTTTATGATAGGTTGAAAAAAAGGACAAAACTTTCGGGACAACCTAATATTTACAATGTTTATCCTCTCTTTCCTACTTCAATTCAAACGATGTACATTTTCTTCAACTTTTACGAAAAAACACCATTGATTCTCCGTCGCGGGAGTTTCTGCAGCTTGCAGAATCGTAACATGTTTTCACTTTCCTATATCATTCTTAGTTTCTAGAAGATTAATGTTTGGAGTTTTATCATAATTGTCTTAGTCAATCATAAACAATCGCGACAAAGCATTGCTTGACACAGTCACCCAAACATATGGAAAGACTGCTATGTATGTAGAGGTTATAAAGTCAAACTCTGTATAAATGCTCGTAGTTCTGTATACGCGTTGCCTATCAGCCCATCAACCAATAAAGTTTCGTCCAAGTTCTTTGAAAGTCCAGAGGTCGAGTCAAGGCAATCTTTTCCCTCAGGCATCAACAAAAGAATCAGAGTCATACTTGAATGGTTACGGTAGGCGAACCAGCCTCAGATGACAACACGGCACGAGAGCTCTTGCGAGCACGTTGTAACAAGACAAGTAATTTCTTTTAAGTTTTTTCTTGAGCAAAAACAAAAGTTTTCCCTGCCAGGTAAGCATACTGTATTGTAGAGCTTATTGAGGACAATAACCGGGTAGTGGACTTCCAAAAAAAACTTTAACTAAATTTTATTTTGCTCGTTTTTTTCAAAAAATGGCCTCTGAATCCCTTTTTCAAGCCAAATTTCTTCAAATGGAAACTTATTCGAGACATCCCAACAAAACTATTCGGATAAAAGGATGCTCTATGCCATCATCTGTGCATCGGACGTGTGCTGGTGAGTTTCTTTTGCTGAAAATGGCTCTTAAAGGCAGTACATCGGCAGAATGAGACCCGTGACAAAACAAGGTCACAGGGTAGGAGCCAGTCCCCATATGGAACCTATCGGCCAAAGTCCGATCTTTCTCTGTCACTTCTAGGGTTGTTTCAGACTGCCGCACTGACTGCAGCAGACTGCAGCTGACTGCAGCTGACCGCAGCTGACCGCATTGACCGCACCGGTCGCAGCCTCTTTTCTTAAAAGAAAACAACCGCGATTACCAAAACAGCGTGATTTATGCATAAGAAGATCATAAGTTCCATCAGAATTCTTCTCAATCAAATTTTGGCGATAGTTTTCTTTGGTATGTTCGTATTTATTGCATATACCTGTTTTGTAACATTCTAAACCGTGTTGTCTTTTGCTTTTACGTATATATTGTTGTTGTTTGTTTAAACCACAACTATTTATCCTCTCCGCCTGCACGCTACAGCCGCTGCGGTCGTTGCGGTCAGTGCAGTCAGCTGCGGTCTGCTGCAGTCTGCTGCAGTCAGTGCAGTCAGCTGCAGTCTGCTGCAGTCTGCTGCGGTCAGTGCAGACTGCTGCAGTCAGTGCGGCAGTATGAAACAACCCCTAACCCCCGAAATTTCAAAGCGAAAGCAGCGCTTATCTCCTGTCCTCTCCGAACCCGCCCATCCCATGGACGAATGAACGCGAAGCCCGTCATCGCGAAGACGCAGAGTCGTTGCGGGACCTCATGCTTATAGCATTGCGGCTGGCGCTCTGACCGCGGAAATCACTCGTCCATGGGGTGGGCGGGTTCGGAAGAGGACAGGAGATGAGCGCTGCTTTCGCTTTCAAATTTCGGGGGTTAGAAGTGGCAGAGGAAGATCGGACTTTGGCCGATAGGTTCCATATGGGGGCTCCTACCCCCTGTGACCTTGTTTTGTCACGGGTCTCAATCTGCCGATGTACTGCCTTTAACAGTGCGTGCACTTGACCCCACCTGCACCTCACCACTGACTTGCATCGCTTTGCAGGCTTGTAGCTTGGCCGCCAATCAATCTACGAGTTTGCTTATAGGCTCATTCGAAAGAGCGTGACTTCCCCGATATGAAGGTATGCAAATGAGTTGAGCTTGGGGAGCCCCGGAAATCGGATGGGTGACAAAGCGCAGCCATAGAGATTTTGAGTGGAGGCTCGTATCAGCACTAGAACAGTCTTAGAGTTCCGATATGGAGCCTACACAGCGATTTGATTTTGCAATTTTGTCTGCAATAGTGATAGAATGCAAACGTTCTTCGCGACTAGATGATAGTCGGGTAGCTGTTTTGTATATTTGACATTTGAATTATAAGAAGAATTGGAATAATGGCTTTTATGGATTTTATGGCACAGTTTCTGAATTTTCAGAATTTTTGCTTAAAAATTCCGAATTCCAAATGATCTCGTTCTATCATTTTTATCTCTGCGACCTGAGCATGTTAGAAAGTCCCCAGAGAACTTTTGGAAACTACATGCCATACCTACGCATTCAGATAAAATTTGAATTGAGCAAAATCGTTGTGGAAAGAAATTACGATTTTTTGAAAATGGTGCGACAGAACTTTCGGTCCCTATATCATAGAGGTTGAGCGAGGATTGATGCTTCGTTAGCATTTCACAAACAAATAGCTTGTATCAATATAGGTGCTATCATGACCCTTCTCAACGCATGCCTTGAGTGCACTGTATTTAGATGGTCAGAACATTACTTTTGACAAGTTAGAGGTTTAGCAATGGGGCAACGACTGGCACCAATTCTTGCAATCACATTTATGTCCAAGATCGAGGCGCCAATGCTAAAATGAAACCCGCTGCTGTATTGTAGATACGTAGATGACTGCTGCATAACATGTTCTTCGCAAGCAGAACTAGATCTTTGCTTTGATGTTCTCAACCAGCAGTGCGGCAGCATTGAATTTACGCGCGAGAAGCCCGACGAAGAATGGTTAGCACACCTCAACGTGGAGATTCACCTGTCGAATGGAGAGTACAAAACTAAATGGTACCGTAAATCTAGCAGTAAAATATCCTGGTACATAACTTATCCGCACACCCTAGAAAGATAAAATGGCCGTGATAAGTCAAATGTACAAAACAGCTACCCGACTATCATCTAGTCGCGAAGAACGTTTGCATTCTATCGCTATTGCAGACAAAATTGCAGCAAATCGCTATGTAGGCAAAAAGTCTGAAACAGCGCGCGGTTACAAACACCACCAATTGATCAGGAAGACAAGAATAAAATACCGTTCTGTGTGCCATTCATCTCTGATGAATTCAGCAGTGCAGTCCGTCGTTGCTTAAAACAAGCTGATTTGCAAGACACAGTCAGAGTCGTTGACATACCGTCCGCGAACCTTATGGAACGCCTACTAAGAAATCGCGCATACGATCGCATGTGCTTAACTCCGAGCTGCGTGATGTGTTCTTTCAGCAAATGCGGTGATTGAATAATGAGCGCCGTAAGTTTATCTGATAAAGCGCTTGTCATGTGGAGATATTTATATCGGGAAGACTGGACGGCTTTTTTATTGCCGCATAAAAGAACATTCAAACGGGTTACGGAAGTTGAGATCATCTACACCTTTAGGTGCGCATTGCGTGACGCGGCATAGTGTTGCAACGTTTCAAGTTAAAGTAAAAATACTGTCATTTGAGCCTGAAACCCTAGCCCGCAAAACTTTAGAGGCGTTTTGGATAACCGCGAAAAATCCAAAAATGAATGCAAAGGAAGAGTGTATCGCCATAACGCAAGAATTGTCAGGTTATCAATCCTTGTGTGGATTCGAATCACAGCACATATGAAAAGAGCTGAGGAACTTGTCTTGTTATAACGTGCTCGCAAGAGCTCTCGTGCCGTGTTGTCATCTGAGGTTGGTTCGCCTACCGTAACCATTCAAGTATGACTCTGACTCTTTTGTTGATGCCTGAGGGAAAAGATTGCCTTAACTCGACTTTCCAGGCTCTGACGAAGGCGAAATCTTTGAAACGTCAACCAATGAAGAGTTCTTGAAAAATTGGCTATTGGCTGAGGTAATACCATACGCAAGTGCATAACATGCCAAGATTAAAAGACAGCCGAACGTGGAAAGTTCTTCGTGATATCCCCTTGCTTTTCATTCCAAAACAATACCTAGTCTGTCTTGTAAGCCGCCTGTGCCGAGCCCTGTAAAAAGCAGCTAGTGGCGGCAAGAGATTTTGAGAGAAACAGAGCTCATTTCGCTATTAGTCACATACTGGAAGTTCGAAACTGTCAAATTTCTTGTATTATATCCATTTTGAAGCCTTGACTGCTTTGTTGTCGATAAGAGCCTTCAGCTAATCACCTCTAAGGCTCCCCTTTCATCCCATCCGTAAAATCTCCAGAATTCTTCAAACTCAAGTCATTGCATATGGTCGCCTCGAGGAAGTCCCGCTCTTTCGAATGAGCCTACGTACAGGCTTAGAATGACTGCCGGCCGAGCTACAAGCTTTTAAAGTGGTACAAGTCATTGGAAGCTACGCGCGAGATACTGTGCACGCATTTTAAGAGCCTTTTCCAGCAAGGGAACTCACTAGCACACGTCAGATGGGTAGAGGATGGTAAAGAACATCCACTTTAACTGGAAAGTTTTGTTAGAATGTTTTGCATCAGTTTTTAGATGAAGAAATTTGGTTCGGGTAAGGGAATTAAAAGTTAATTTCAAAAAAAAAATGCAGAATATCCTAGCTTGTGCTTTTTGTCGTTTGCTGCGCATAGTGTGAAATCACATATTGAGTATTAACGACGACTTTCATTTTTATAAGCATTGTTTCCAAAATTTACTCCAGCAAATCATGGCGACTCTACACTGACTAGACAGGCCATCATCCTGATTTTGATGGAACTTCCACAGAGCTGCGACAGGAAGTACTTTGCAGATTTGTTTGTCAGAAATCTTGCTACAGATCTACACATGTTTGATATCGATGATTTGAAGTTTTGTCATTTATTTATTTTTTGTACCAAGACATTGCTACAGTGTTCTTTTTTTTTCATCTTTGGTTTCTTTAAATGAGTCTTCTTCTTGATTTTCCGGCAATACAGGTTTTGTAGTGATTTTAGTTGTTTTTGATCATCCCAGTTTCATTCGCATCCTCTTTTTGCTGAGCTAACAAAGAAATAGTCAACTGACAGAACTTTTGCACAGACTTAATATTTTTGAGATCAGCTTCTCAATGCGGGTGTAATAGTATTGAGTTGCTGCGTAAGTTTTGTACGATTTGATTATTTGAGTTTAAACGTCGTAACTTCTTTCAGTCAACTTTTTTCCAAGTTTTTAGTTTCTATGTGTTATGCAGTTCCTTGGCCATGAAACACATATTGAGAACTGCGCAAATTCTTGTTAAGAAAGAAGCAAGAATGCAAAAACTTTACAGCTTTTTCTTCAAAGCTGTCTTTTTTGACATGGCAACGCTTCCTTATAAGAAGTGATAACATTTTATTCAACAATGGATAGATAGAGAAATTTTCTTAGATTATTATACAACATAAAAAAGCCCATAGGGTCTGCGCTCCCACGAGATTTTTTTGACCGAGCAAAAAAAGCCACATTTGGACCTCGCTTCAGCACATGTGTGCATGCATTTACGATTTTGAAAATTTTACAACTGTAGTGAGCGTCGAAAAGAAACTGGTGGATGGGTCCTGCTAGCTCTTGCATTGTCCTAGCACTTCCAACTTTGAGCTTGTCCATTACTTCTATTCGCAGAAAGTTATTGTTTGTAAAACATCTATACAAAAAATTAATGTTTGACGATAAATTTTGCTAGCAAGATGTTTTCTTCATATTACCGCACTTCTGCATATACTAGCCTTCTACACCCTTATTCCGCGGCCATTGAAAGAACTTGACTTGAAAAGCGCATTGTAAAGATTTTCTCGAAAGAACATATTTCTAGGGGGAGAACTACCTCGGCCACTTAGAGATTTTAGGCCTGAATCTCCGTACACCAAGAAATTTGTTGAAATCTGATATGCGTTAAAAAGAGCAAGGAAAGCACTTTCTAACGATACTAACAATACTGCATTAGAGATGAAATTCTCTTGGAACAGCTGCTTCAAACATAAGGCAAAAAATTAGGACAGAACTTATGCAGCAGAATAATATAATGCTTATATGTACCGGCATTGTTTTGACCATTTCCTTGTGAACTTTTTCATAAAATTCTTCCAAGTTTTTTCACCATTTCCTAGTAAGCTTTCAGATTCTATGGAAAAAAGAAATTCAACAAATGGTTCTTACCGTAATCCTAAAGTAACGAAGAGCGATCGGTGATTTGCTCCATGCTGCAGATCTAAGCTAAACTTCGTTTTACAGAATGGTCCCTTAAGCTCTGCGAAAGAAATGAAAGCAAGAGAGTTATTGAGGATCAAACAGTGTCCTATTTTTGGGACACCCTGCAGTTTGGATGGTCGGCAACCTGAGTATGCAAGAACAATTCGAGCACAACCGTGCCCAATTACAATGTAAAAGTGAGAAAAGTATTAATGCTGCACCATCTTGAGAGCTTTTGTTATATACTTCCTTGGAAGCTCTTGCTACATCAAGTCCCAATTGCTTACGACAGTTGAGATTAATGATTGTATTGGACTAACTAGCACACCAGGCTCTGCTCGGTCCTCTGCCAGCAAAACATGAAACATCACTTCGTCTAACTTATTCCAATAATTCCATGTCCCTGTCCCATCTCTGGGCATTTCCCTGATTCCACATTTTTGTGGTCCGCAGCACACTTATCTGCATCAGCTCCCAACTAATTTAGTTTTTTTATTGTCATTTTCGTGTTCAGCTTGCTTGTCAAGCTTGTATCAACTATTCCTAGCGCAATAGCCTGAGCTTTGCAAAAAAGGTAATAAAGATGGTCGATGATTTTGACTTCCTGACTTGTCTGCATACACGTCTCGACTTGCAATACTTTATAAAAGAAATCAACGCTATTTACTTCTACCCAATGTCCTTCTGTCTTTGTTCCGTTCTATGTGCTAGCTCCTTGTCCTAGCTACCTTTTCGTGACCAGCGTGACCACAAAAAATTTCTGTAGCAAATCCCTGCTCCTCACCTCAGTGTTCGCAAACGATGAGTTATATTGATTCGATAATTCTCCGTATTCTGGCACTTTCATTAAGCAAGCAATCGAAAGATGCCTAAAGATCGTGAGACTTATATATTAAGTGTCCCGGAAGTTTTGTCTGTTTTTTCAAGCCACTATACAATAAAGATCTGAATGAGTCTCAACATGCATTCTATGCAGCTTTTCCCTCTCTTTCTTACAATATCATCCTCGAACTGTGATCTTGTATGCTTTTTTTCATAGTTGCCAAAATTCTCCATCTGCAAAGCTTCGGAAAGGGTTAAATGTGAATTAAGTAGAGCAATTCACGAACAACAAGGTAGCATTTTCAAATTTTCCTAATCTGCTGTTTTAGCTTCAAAAAACTGTTTCTTCAGAAGTCTTAATTTTTGGCAAGATCATAAAACACGCAATGCAGAAAATACGCGAAAGCCTTTTAAATTTCCGCGAATAAAACATGAATTATTAGGTTGAACCGAAAGTTCTTTCCCCCCATTTTCAAAAATTCATAACTTCCAATTTTTTCATCCAATTTGGCTGCATCAATTTTTGTATGAAAGAGTAACTCATGTTCTTCATAACGACATCTTAGCTGCTTGCTAGTGATCATTTGTTGCATAATAGGAGCGTTAGAAGAAAATTAGTCAAAATTTGAATTTTCTGTGTAGGGTCATAAAAAATCGGAAACTTGCAAGAAAAATCGGAGCAGTCAGTACTGTAGGTTCTTTTATCAGCTCTTTCTAATGGTGCAAAGTTTGCGCCGATTGAGCGTCTCTGTGAAAAGTTATGATTTTCGAGCAAACAATACAAAAGGGCGAATTGATTTATTTTGGCATTTTTCAGGAAAATCGTAACTTTTCATAGGAGCGTTCAATCGGCGCATACTTTGCACTGTTGGAAAAAGCTTGTGAAAGAGCCTACAATACTGACTGCTCCGATTTTTGTTGCAAGTTTCCGATTTTTTATGACCCTACACGAAAAATTTAAATTTTGAGTGATTTTGGTTTTGAGCTTCTATCTCCTTCATTTGTATACATTAACGAACAGGTCAAGTACATTTACAAAGAGAATGAGTTCCTCTCTTACACAAAATTTAGATCTTGCAGATTCGTTGAGAATTCAACAAGTTATGAATTTTTGAAAATAGGGGGAAACAACTTTCGGTTCAACCTAATATATTGAACTGATTTGGAAGTTCTGCCGCTTTAATTTTGGAAAATTCGTAATTGCTGCTATGTGGACGAGCTACTTACAAAAAATATCTTCAGATAGATAATTCATTCAATTTAAAAGCATCTTTGCTGCCTTTTGACAACCGGTGATACCTACAAAAATCAGAAAAGTAAGTCATTCAAAGTCCCAGTTTTCGAAAATAAATCGTCAGAAATCCGAATCAAAATCGAAAGCATATCTCTCTTAGTTGCTGCTCTTTTTAGCTTCAAAAAATTATTTCTTCTGATGTCTTGAATTTTGGCAAAGTCATAAAACACGCAACTGCAGCGAATGCGCGCAAGCTCTCAAATTTTTTGGGAATTGAAACACGATTCTTATTGAACATTATTTATGCAACATAACCAAGTTCGACTTGCCTTGAAGAAGCAGCTTTTTAAAACTTGCGCGTTAAATGTGCAGAAAGCCGCTATTTTTATTGAATAAATAGTTATAACGGGATACATAGCCAAAAATTTGCTTTACATAGCAGTTACTAGCGTTCTTTGAAAACATCAGGATAAGAATTTTTGAATTCAAAAAGTACTTGGCGTGACTGCTGAGCTGCACAAAAAGCCATGGCGACAACATTGCGAAGACAGTCTGGATTGAACAAATATTGCTGTAAGAAGGATAAAAATCTGGATTAAATAGTACCTAAGTCGTCCATGGATTGGTGTTCTGTGAGTTTTAGGAGCGATTACAAAATCGGAATAATTTTCGGGACAACCTAATGATTGACATGGAAAATTTATCTTAAGAGTTATTGATATCATCAGCATATTCACTTCTTTGTGCCAATCCCCAACACCATATCTCACAGTAAATGATAATTTCAAAGGCTAAATCTATTTGAGCTCACTCGCTCCCTGTGCCACTCCCAGCCCCATGATATAAAGCTTAAAGCCTAATGTAATTGATAACAGTGATCTGATGATATTACAAGCGTTCAGTATGCTCACTTACCTTCCCGTGTAGACCTTCGCCTAGCAGCTTAGCACATTGACGACCGCTTGACACACATGGTGTGTCAAGGCTAGACGCACCTTTTGTGTCAAGCTTCGACACACCATGTGTGTCACGTGGTCAGTGTGTTGAAATGGCTGCTATTTTGTGTTGAACCCAATCTGGGAGTTTTCTTTTTTATTTAGACACAACATCTACTGCTTTTGCCAGCATTTCAGAGTTACGTATTTATACTGTAGATGGAATTGTGCGTGACTTTATCTATAAAATGTTGACCGGTCCGCGAAACGCCTTGGTCTTCAATATGTTAAATAGCTGGGAAGTCAAAAAATCGATACTGATTGTCAACGTATAATAGACACCCGTCGCCTCAGATTGTTTGTGCAATTTGGACCGAGTCGGTTCAAAAACAAAGTTCTCTTCACGAACATACGTGCTGGCGACTAACCATTTGTTATTTCTTTTTTCCATGAAATCCTGTGAAAAAGGTTACAAGGAAATGGTTAAAACGCAGAAATTTATGAAACTCACAGAGAATGGTCAAACTTGGCAGTGCCGATGTATATGAGCGTCATACTATTGCACACACCTTGAAAATGTAACCTCAAATATATTGATTCTGTGCAAAAGTTCCGTCGTTTTTCTGAACTAACTCGCAAATCCTGTGCAGTAGAAATGGACAAAATTTTTAACTGCGGTCGATGCAAAATTTACCTTCCCAGCTTCCATATAATGAATGCGGTTCATTGCATTACTGTGAGGTAACTGCCAAAGATTACAGTCCTTTGCTTTCGCCATGTCTATCTTTCTCTAATTTAAAGAAAATTCTACCCCGAAGCTTTTGAACTGCTCTGATACCAGCTGATAGGGCAGACCTTTTGCAAATTCATGCAGTTTTC